TACAGTACATAGTAGCAGCTACAAATTCTCCTGGCTTTCCTCTGCAACTGGGACAATCAGGCTGCAGACCAAGGAAGTTTCAAGGAATTCAATTTGTTCCTTTCTAAACAGGTAGATCTTGACTCCGAATAACTCTGGGATGAATCCTGCGCTGATCGTACCCAGAGCAAACCCATTGAAATTTAAAAAGGCATGACATAGGTGCCTCAATTTCAACAGGTCTACTCGCAAGTATGATTTAGTTGGCTATAACTCTCAGTGCTGAATATTAATCTCACATATGCATTCCTGATGTATGCATCCTCTGAAGGAAATCCCATGCAGAGATTAACAGTTATTCCTGAGTCATTTGGCGTCCCCACACAGTGCAGATCAGTGGGGAGCACCACCCCATGGAGGACAGTGGGGTTACCTAGGAAGGCACTAAGAGGCAAGGGGGCAGGAAGGGGGTGCCAGAGGTTTAAAGGACTAACCGGATTTGAAAAGCTGGTATCACTGACTCAAGTTCATTGGCTTTGTTGAATTAATTAAACTAAATAGTTTTAATTGGATTTTGAATAAACATGGAATTAATTGTTACCATTTTGAATTTCATTGTGCCGTTCTCTTCCTTAGTGGGTTGGGCAAACTGCTATCCTGATTAGTGATTTTTACAGGGTTAGGGGCACTGGGGATGTGAATGTGGAACCAAGAGGGCAATGGCCTGAAAAAGTTTGGGAACCACTGGAGTAGATGTTACCAGCACGGATCCAAGGCCCTGGTTCATTTCCTAACTTGGCTACAGAATTTCTGAAAGGGAGAAATGGGTGAATTAAGCCACACATTGAAACCGAGGCCAGGACCCCTGGGATAGCAGAGACAAGACAGAGGTCCCCCATTTTGGAGGGGGTGCTGTGGATTTCCTACTCTGAGTCAAGGTGACAAAGTGGTTAGATTGCCGGACTAGGACCTGGAAGAGCAGGGTTCGAATTCCTCATGACCACAAAGCCTGACCTTGGCCCATTTGCTATCCCTCAGCTAAGCCCTACCTCACAAGGCTGTTGCTGTGAGAGGGAAAGTAAAGGTAAAGGGACCCCTGACCATTAGGTCCAGTCGCGGCCAACTCTGGGGTTGCGGCGCTCATCTCGCTTTACTGGCCAAGGGAGCCGGCGTACAGCTTCCGGGTCATGTGGCCAGCATTGACTAAGCCGCTTCTGGCAAACCAGAGCAGCGCACGGAAATGGTGTTTACCTTCCCACTGGAGTGGTACCTATTTATCTACTTGCACTCTGACGTGCTTTCGAACTGCTAGGTTGGCAGGAGCTGGGACCGAGCAACAGGAGCTCACCCCGTCGCAGGGATTCGAACCGCCAACCTTCTGATCAGCAAGCCCTAGGCTCTGCGGTTTAACCCACAGCGCCACCCGCGTCCCTGTGAGAGGGAAACAGAGCCACTTATGCCTTGAGCTCCTTGAAAGAAAGCATGGCAGTGAATGGGTACCTAGCCTCAGCAGCAGCGTGTGCATGACCCCGAGGAACGAGGCCGCCCGGTCAGCGTGATGCAGGTCAAGCTTGGCCAGGATGTCCTGGATGACGTCATCCACCAGGGGCAGCACATTGGCATCCGAGTGTCTCAGCATGGCTTCCAGGACCCGCGAGCAACGGGGCACGTGAGCCTGGTGACGCAGGTGCAAGGAGATGCCGTTCACCAGGTAGTCGGCGTTCTGGTTGATAAGGTCCGGGATGGAGCCGTAGCCGCAGGCACAGCAGATGTCCTCCATGGCCCCGCTGGCTGCCTGGCTGATAAGGAGCGTGGCATCTCCTGCCTTCTCCAGGACGGGGTACAAGGCTGAGATCAGCAGCGGGCGGAAGTCCTGCTTGAGCGCGGAAGCAAAGCAGCCCACCCCTTCCAGCTGGATGCAAATCTGCCAGATGTTGCCGTTCATGGCGTGGACGGTGAGCTTGGCATCTGGGAGAGGAAGGGGCTGGCCAGGCGGAACGGCAAGGAGCCCGGAGCGCTTCGCCTCCGGTTCGCTGGCCACCTCCTCAGCCTCGATGCTGGTGACCAGGTGCCAGTTGGCTTGGTCCACGTATTCCTCCAGCACAGAAGCCACGACGCCTCTGAGATCCTCAGCACTGGTCACCTCTTCCCGCTCATGAAGGACGTCCACCTCCAGCCCAGCTGCTCCAGCAATTAGTTCATTGAGGACCATCGCCGCCTGCTTCCGGTAGACAGCCGACTCTCCGTACAGCCCCAGGAAATGGTCCGCCAGCAAATAGAGGTTCCCGTAGTATCCGAGGACCCGGCAGATCTGCTGGAGCAAGGAGAATATGCGCTCGTCGGCAAAGAACCGGAAGCACTTCCTCTGGGCGCTGCTGCTGTGCTGCGAAGGTCCTGGCAGGTTCCCGAGACGCCGCTCCTCCACAACCTTCACGTCCTTCACATCCAGCTCCAGGACTTGCACAAGGGCCCTGGAGAGGCGGTGGAGGTGGGCAGCGGAGTTCAGAACCAGGTTGACCCGGGGGCCCAGCAGCTTCAAGTACCCGAGGAGCAAGTTCAAGGTGACCGTCTTGCCCTGGTCATCCTGGGAGCTCATCAGGCGGGGAAGGGCGGTGGCCAGGGAGTGGAGGTCCTCCGAAAGGATGTCGGCAAGAAGGCGGTTCTCCGCCACCCTTCCCTGCTCCGCGGCGCTCCGCAGGACCTCGCTGCTCCGAGTTCGGATCTCGGGCCTCTCGTCGTTGACGAGGCCAACCAAGGCCTTCAGGAGCTGGCTGGTGGAGTCGACCAAAGACCGGCCGCAGGTCGCCATCAAGAGCTGGACCATTTCCACCATCTCCATCCTCGCCTTCCAGTGAGGGTGAACGGACACGGACCCAACCACCTTCGCGATCAGGATGGAGAGTTTGGCTGCTGTGCTCTTTGCCCAGTCGGGGTCTCGGTGGACCACGAGCTCCGAGAGCCTGCCTTGCCCCTGCACAGATGCCTCCGTCTTTGGCGGGATCTGCGCCAGTTGCTCATCTGCCATGACCAAAGCTAACGTCTGGGAAAAGACTTTGACGGCCGAGACGACAACGGCATGGCCTTGCTTCACGTCCCCCGCAATGATCCGGGAGAGCGTGAGGGAGATCCCGGGCAGGAAGGAAGCAAAGAGATCCCCGCAACGCTTTGCCTCCTCGCCGTCCAGCTGCCGGTGGCCCCCCTCGCAGTCACACTGCAGAAGCAGCGCTTGCAGGCATCTCAAGGCCGTGATCTTCAGCTGCTTGGCTTTCTCCTGCTCTGCCAGGGAGAGCAGCAAGGAGACGGCAAAGCCCAGGTGCGGGAGGTTGGAGGGCTGGTACAGAGTCGCCAGGACGTCGCCGGAAGCCGAATGCAGCAGAGCCAGCAGTGCCTGCAAGACAGCCTCCTTCAGCTCCTCCGACAGAGGGGCCAGCTGCTGCGGGCTGGAGGGGGAGGCCAGGCAGACGCAGAGCTCGGAGAACAGCTCCAGGAGCAGATCGGGCTTCTTCACGCACGTGGCGGAGAGCACTGAGGCCACGCACTGGGCCACGGTCTGGATCACACGCTCCCGCTTCGGCCCTGGGATCTTGAGGGTGAAGCGCAGGGGGAAGAGGACATATTCCTGGAGTTCCTGCAGGGCAGAGTCGCTGACCGTTTGCAGCTGGGAGTGGAGCAGCTCCACGTTCTCCGCCGTCTGGGCTTTGGTCAGCTGCACGCAGGCCGGGCGCAAGGCCCCAAACGCCTCCTGCGGGGTGTCGAAAACAGCCATGGCCTGGCCCTGCCGCCCTCGACTCAGGCCTCTCCTCCGGTCGTCGTCATCCTGCGTAGGAAAGGGGAAATAAGTTCTGTGAGAGCAGCTTTCAGGTTACAGGAGGAGCAGGAGGAGAAACACAACAAATAAATAAAAAAGGTAACAAGCCCAATGTGTCCCTTGACATAACTTCTGTTGGCCCGAAGAGGGGAAATAACAAGAAAAAACTAGAGGAAGGCTCTCTGAAAAACAGCAGGCAGTCTCAAGGTCCCTTAAAGAGTTTCACTGCATGGCTAGCTACCCCAGTGTGTGCAGAGCAGGGCAGCTTTGGCCGATGCCTGGAGCTGAAGAGAGAAAGAGAAGCCCTCTGGCATTCAAAGGAAGCGGCCTGGGAATCCCGGAACTGTAGAACTGGAAAGGACCCAGAAAGGTCACCCAGCCCCGACCCCCTGCAGTGCAGGAATCGCAGCATTGAGGAATTGGAAGGGGTTCCCCGAGGGTCATCCAGCCTGACCCCCTGCAATGCCTCTGGTCTAGCCTGGCAGCGTCCCTGGCCCAGACTGCCAGTCTCTTTGGGGTCCAACTTTGCAGGAGGGGGCCTGGCCTGGCCTTTATGCCCGGAGGGCACGCGCTCTACCCACTGAGCCACACTGCCTCACCTGGGGCCGGAGTCCCGCGAGTGGACGGGGTCAGGCCGCCGGCAAGGCCCTGGAAGTGGCCCCGGGTCGCAGGTCACTGGCCCCCTATTTCTCCCCCTCCCAAAAAAACCCCCAAAACCCCCAGGCCTCCCGCCTTCCCCCCCGCTTCTCCCTTCCTCACGCGCCGCCCGGGAGAAAGCGAGAGTTCGCCCCATGCCGGAAGTCACAATTCTGACGGAGCGAAATATCTCCCGCGGGGGAGACCGGCGAGCGGGAAGGAGCGACAAAAGTCCCACCGGAGCATCACCGCCCATGCGCGGCGGTCGGGCCTACTGCGCGCGCGTCGCTGGGAGTCCGCGCGTGCGCTTTAGGGAGGCAGCGGCAGCCGAACTTGGCGCCGCTTGTCCGGCCGAAGCAGCAGCAGCAGCAGCAGCCGGCGTTCTCTCGCGCCTCCTGGGTGGTTTGTCCCCCTTGGCCCCCCGTAGCATGCCGCCCTCTGACCCTCGCGCGGCGCCGGGGTGAAAGGGCGCGCGGCCATTTTGTGTCGGCGGTTGGTCGTCTGTGAGGCGAGGAGGGAGGCCGGGCGGGAGGCCGGGAGGGCGGCGGGGCCGGGCCGCTCCAGCGAGGCCGCGCCAGGCCGGGCCGGGCGGAGCTCCTCTCCTCCTCCTCCTCCGCCGGCGGCCGGCCGCGCCATGTCCTCGTTCTCGGAGTCGGCGCTGGAGCGGAAGCTGTCGGAGCTGAGCAACTCCCAGCAGAGCGTCCAGACGCTGAGCCTGTGGCTCATCCACCACCGGAAGCACGCCGGGCCCATCGTCACCGTCTGGCACCGAGAGCTCCGTAAGGGTGAGGAGGAGGGAGGCGGGAGGGCGCCGGGGGGCGCGGGAAAGAGAGGAGCCCGGGGGGGGGGTCGCTCGGCCTCTCTCCCCCGGGTCCCTCCTCTTCTGCAGCCGTTCACGGGGGGGGGCAGCATGGCCCAACAGTCGCGTAAAAGGGAAGGCCACGCCCCCTCCTGGGAGAGACTTGTGAGCAGAGGGGGCCAGCATGGCTGAGCCGTTGTGTAACCAGAGAAGGGGTGGGTGGGTGTGTTGCCAGTTGTTGTTTAGTCGTTTAGTCGTGTCCGACTCTTCGTGACCCCCTGGACCAGAGCACGCCAGGCACTCCTGTCTTCCACTGCCTCCCGCAGTTTGGTCAGACTCATGTTCGTAGCTTCGAGAACACTGTCCAACCATCTCGTCCTCCGTTGTCCCCTTCTCCTTGTGCCCTCCATCTTTCCCAACATCAGGGTCTTTTCCAGGGAGTCTTCTCTTCTCATGAGGTGGCCAAAGTACTGGAGCCTCAGCTTCACGATCTGTCCTTCCAGTGAGCACTCAGGGCTGATTTCCTTCAGAATGGATTGGTTTGATCTTCTTGCAGTCCATGGGACTCTCAAGAGTCTCCTCCAGCACCAGAATTCAAAAGCATCCATTCTTCGGCAATCAGCCTTCTTTATGGTCCAGGTCTCACTTGTACCAATAATTGATCACATAACATAAATTCCTATATACATATATTCCTGCAGCAACACAGAGCACAAACACCATTCGAATTGCAATGCCTACCAACTTTGCCTCCCTCCAATATGTTATGGGACCTCAGCTCCTAGCAGTTGGTTCCTGTGGCCACCAGCATGGCTGAACAGTCATGTAATCAAATCAGCGTGCTCACCTCATGGGAAAGAGCGCACAAGTTGCCAGTAGGGGTACCAATAATTGATCACATTACACTGTTAACAGAGAAATCTGAGGGCTGCCTTGGACAAAAAAACAAGGACACCAGCCAGGAATACCAGAGCAAAACAGCAGCCAGTAGGCTTGACCTTTATTGAAGGCTGTCAGGACAGGACTCCCACCTGCCACCAGGTGGAACAAGATAGAAGCCCAGAACAAAAGAAGACCCCAACTTTTATTAGCTGCTAATCCCCATGTTACACCCCCCCAAACTACACCACTTATACATCATGGTTACATCATGAAAAGGGAGGTCTGGTGGCAGTAATCTGAGCATCTTGGACCCTGCTCCACGGTTCTCCTTGCCCTCCACCAAACACCCATCAAGTGTAACCAAAGAGATATTTATATTTCCCTGTTTTCCCAGCCCAAGTTACCGTATTTTTCGCACCATAGGACGCACTTTTCCCCTCCAAAAATGAAGGGGAAATGTGTGTGCGTCCTATGGTGCGAATGCAGGCTTTCGCTGAAGCCTGGAGAGTGAGAGGGGTGGGTTGCCAGCATGCCGAAGCCTGCGCGCGCTGAGCTCAGCGCGTCCAGGCTTCCCGGACCTCCCCGCAAACAGCGGGAGCGCTCCCGCTGTTTGCGCAGGGTTGCCAGCATGCCGAAGCGTGCGCGCGCTGAGCTCAGCGCGTCCAGGCTTCGCGGACCTCCCCGCAAACAGCAGGAGCGCTCCCGCTGGTTGCGCAGGGTTGCCAGCATGCGAAGCCTGCGCGCGCTGAGCTTAGCGCGTCCAGGCTTCCCGGACCTCCCCACAAGCAGCGGGAGGGCTCCCGCTGTTTGCGCAGGGTTGCCAGCATGCCGAAGCCTGCGCGCGCTGAGCTCAGCGCGTCCAGGCTTCCCGGACCTCCCACAAGCAGCGGGAGGGCTCCCGCTGTTTGCGCAGGTTGCCAGCATGCCGAAGCCTGCGCGCGCTGAGCTCAGCGCGTCCAGGGCTTCGCGGACCTCCCCGCAAACAGCAGGAGCGCTCCCGCTGTTTGCGCAGGGTTGCCAGCATGCCGAAGCCTGCGCGCGCTGAGCTTAGCGCGTCCAGGCTTCCCGGACCTCCCCGCAAGCAGCGGGAGCGCTCCCGCTGTTTTGCGCAGGGTTGCCAGCATGCCGAAGCCTGCGCGCGCTGAGCTCAGCGCGTCCAGGCTTCGCAGACCTCTCCACAAGCAGCGGGAGCCAGCGCTGGGCTTCCCACGGCTTGCAGAGAGCTACCTGTTTGGGGGCTGGGGTTGGGGAAGCTCGAGCTTCCCCAGCCCGCACCTGGGGGGAAATAATTTTTTTTCCCTTTATTTTCCCCCAAAAAAACTGGGTGCGCCCTATGGTCCGGTGCGCCCTATGGTGCGAAAAATACGGTAATCACACCCTTTTGTCTTCATCTGGGTTTGTTATTTCTGGAATGGCTACCTGTCTGGCACTCAGGTATCAGGATGCCAGGGATTATCCCTCAGGCAGAGGGGCTGCTGAGGAGCTGAGCTTACATGTCTATATGAATTTCTGAAGTTTTCCCTGTGAGAAAGTACATAGGAACATTTATCAGTGAATTCTTACATTTGGTATCGTGCAGCAAAGGCCCTTTGAATAGATAGGAAGAAACTGTGATGAAGTGTTTGGTGGGGACAAGTCACAAAAGTGATTGTGCTGATTTTGGTAGTGGGCTGCATGTGCATGATATCTGCTGGAGGGGCAACACCCCCCCACCCTATACATAAATTCCTGCAGCAACACAGAGCACAAACACCATTCGAATTGCAATGCCTACCAACTTTGCCCCCCTCAAATATGTTATGGGACCTCAGCTCCTAGGAGTTGGTTCTTATGGCCGTCAGCATGGCTGAACAGTCATGTAATCAGAGCAGCGTGCCCCCTCCTGGGAAAGAGCGCACAGGTGTGGTGGGTGGGTGTGCAAGCATGGCATACCCAGAGAACCATGCCTCCTCTTTAGAAAGGATGTGTGAGATGCCAGCATGGTTGAACAGTCGTGTGATCAGAGTTCCAAGTCCCCCGAAAGACTGCATTAGGTTAGGGAATGCCAGCATGGCTGAACAATTGCCTGACCAGAGCACTATGTGCTGTCCTGGAAGGGTGTGTTGTAGGAGAGCCTTCCAGAGCAGGGCTGGGTTGTTGGGAGGCCTGTGGAGGCTCTCCAGATCCCATTGTTCACAACATCTTTCTGGAACAGCTGTGTGAGTTGTGAGCTGGAAGTGTGGAGGTTCCACTGCTGCTTGCAGGGCTGGTATCAGAAGGTAGCTCTGGGAACCATTACCCCATGCTGTTAATATGTGCTGTATGTGGAGCTGCCCTTGAAGACACTTGGGGAGCTGTATCACATTCAGAATGCAGCTGCTGGGATTTTAACTGGGAGCAGTCCACTGGGATCATATCTTGCCAGTTGTGAAAGGGCTTCACTGGATTCCAATACAAGGTGTGGGTTTTGATTCTGAAAGCCCTACATGGCTTTTGACCCAGGTGCCCAGGTACTTACTAATAAATAGAAATATTAAAAATCAATTACAATAAGCATACCTGTACAATTAAAAGACAGGTCCTTCTGCCACATCAAAAGAGGCCATGAATACTTAGAAACCTTAATCTGATTCTCCAGATGATCAACCTGCCTGGATGTTAATATCTTCTACCGAGGCCTTTTTTCAGGTTCCTGTGTCATTGAGATAAGGTGGGTGGGTGGTAACAGAAGCTGGGTGTCTTCTGTGAACCACCCTGAGACCCCTGGGTATAGGGTGGTATATAAATTCAATAAATAATAAAAATTCTGTTTGCTTCTGCAGGGCAGCATTTAGGAGCTGGGGATCCCTGCAGAACTTGGGCTGTGGGCTTGTTATCGCTTAACATCCCAACTTGTAATTTGTAATGCAACTTGATCTGCAGGCTCTTTCCCCACCCCTCTCAGTGGCGGCTTGAGCTGAAGATTAGCTTGGAGAACCTGAGCATAAGAGCTGATGGTGTGGTCTTCACAGCTTTGATCAGGGAAGGTTCAGACTTTCTGCCTGTAGAGCTCCCACTGGGACTGGTCCTTGTATGACTCTTCTGTTCCTCAAGCTTCAGTTTTGACAAAATGTCTACTAATTTATCACCTGCTGAGTTGTTCAGCTTCTCTGTATCTGCCCAACACAAGGCCTTGACAAAGGATGTGTTTGAGGAATTAAGAACTTACATTGTGGCTGTTCTTCTAATGGCAGGTGCTGAGCTCAGCTCTGCCCCCTCATAAGAAAGCTATTCTGCCAGCCTTGATAGTATAATGAATTGATTGTGTGTCTTGGTGGAGAGACATGTGTCAAAAGGCACTCTCTGCTTAGTGCTGGGTAAACCTGGTATGGGGAAGGGAGGGTTTAAAAATTGCAGGCCTGTTAGGGTCAAAAGTCAAGATGGGCAACTGGCAAGCTACACATTGGCCCAGAACATCTTCAGAAAACTAAATTGAATTGCTCTGAATAGCCTGGGTTGTCTGTTCTCTGGTGCACAGTATAGTCTATTGTTCAGTATTCAGCTTCAAGGGCAAAGTGTTTGTTCTTGATCCTGTCCTGCTGGTTCTAAAAATATACGATTTGCAAATAACATTTGAGCTGACTGTTAGCAAGTAATGATCCCTCAGTTGGTAAAGTAAGAGAAAGATACCTGGTTTCACTCCTAAATGGGGTCTCAGTAGCTGGTGCCCTTCCAGGAGTGTGGCACTCACTTTGGCTGCCCCCATCTCCCCCTGCCCCTCCAGCACCTGGCGGTACCAGGTCACATCACCTTAGGGTGATGCCTTGCTTCTACAGTTAGAAAGCTCTGTTAGGAGTCTAAGGTGGACTTTTAGTTTTTTGGAGTTTAAAATGTGCTGGTTGATGCCAGGCACTTACCGCTATAGTCACTCTGAACTTAATGAACTATTCTGAACTCTAATGAAATTGTCATGCTTTGAATTGGGGAGGGCAGAAGACTTGCAGTAAAGACTGCTACTGCTGCTCTGATGCGCGTTGCCATGCATTTTTTTGAGTCAATTTGATGTTCTGTGGCACGCATTTTTGATAGTCAATTTGTTAACCACCGTTCCTTGGTTAGGATGCCAAGCAGTTTCTGCATTTGGACTCAAAGGAGCCAGTTTGCATTGAGTGGAACCTGTTGGACGCATGGTGCAAAGAAGCCGTGTGTGTGGCTCACTGCAATGAAGTTGAACTTTTATCTTCAGGACAGATAAAAAGGAAGTATAGGGAACAACAGATTTGCGGCGGGAGGGGGGGTGAATAAGCCCGCCCCGTGTTCTCTTAATTTGGTACGAGGCCACCAGGCTGTTGTTGTTTTTTAAAAGCTTAGCTTTGATATTGCGGCCTGTCAGGTTTGAGCAATATAGGGCATGCTTGGATGAAAGATATCGTAGAATCGCACAGCCTGTCAGCATCAACATTGTTTTCTGGGGCTGCCTCTTTCCCCGAGCCTTCACCGTGATTACCGATGAGTTCATTCTTGTCAATTCCACTTGCTTGCTTGTTTTTAAGGATTTCTACAAATAAGTCATATTTATTGGCTTTGATATTGAAATAATTACCACTGAAACAGCTCAGTGCAGCCAAGCAGTTCACACAACTCTTCTTGGAATATTGTAATTATAATGAGCACCAGCTGCAAGTGCTGATGGTGCAAAGAAATGCTTTTTTGGTAGCTGTTTTCTTTTTTCTTCCCTTCAACTCTCCAGACTTCCTTTCTCTTCAATTCTGGGAACCTAAATCTTTTCCAAGGGCAGCAGAATTCTATGAAATTTGTTAATTTAGACACCATGCCATGGTTTAAAAAGCTCAAGTAGGGTTGGCATGGTTTCTCAATAGAGAGTGAGTCCTTTTGTATTTGGGCAGGGATGAGCAAGGCATCTGGGAAGGGCAAGTCCATGCCTGGGCCTAGTTTACCTGGTGTTTTCCTACCCAGACCCTGAGCTCTAAATCGGATGCCTTTCTTTGAATGCTCCCAGCAAGTGAGGCAGGCTCAGCAGGGGATTATGAGTCACTGAAAGAGCCTCTTCAGCAGTGGCCTCTTTGTTGTGGAATGCCTTTTACTGAAAAGTCCACAGTGCTTGGTCAAGTTCAGGGGTCGGCTTGGGCCGGTTCATGGTCCCGCAGACGCTGCGGTGGGCCAGAGTGCGCACGCACACATGCGCAAACGCTATTTCCAGCACAGAGGAGGCGTGTGCAGCTTCCCATTGGCTGGCAGGAGCTTCCTGCAGCCAATGGGAAGCCAGGGAATGTTGCAGAAGGCAGTTCGTGCTCTGCTCCGCGCTAGTTTAGCACGGTGCACGGGAGCTGACCGAGCGGGCGGTGGGGGTCCATGAACCTGTTAAGCGACCCCCATGGGCCGCTTGTGGCCCGTGGGCCTTAGGTTGCTGACCCCTGGTCTAGTTCCTTTTTGCAAAGGACATTATGATTTTCTTAAGCTTTTAATGTTTTTAGATTTGCTTGTTTCCTTTGATTTGTTTCTGGTCATGCCTGATTATTTAACGCCGCATTTAAAATAATTTAAACAATAAATGTAAACAATAAAAATGCAAGATGAAATGCAATAAAACAAGATTTGTTTCATTTTGTAAGCCACCCATCTGACTTGAAATAGGCTAATTGAGAGCTGTTTTGTCTTGAAAGCATGGCGTTACTTAGGCTAACCACAGGAATCTTCAAGAACAAAGCAAGCCAGCTTGGGAGGTCACCTTGCATGAAATGAAATATATACTAGCCTGTGGAAGCTGACGCCACAATAAACCATCTGTTGGATCTTTCAGTTGCCACAAGACGTCTTTCCTTGTTGTGCTTCTGCAGCCCTGCTCTGGTTAAGTGTAGATCCGTTGCTGGCTTTAAAGAAGGGGGCATGAAATGAGAACTTGGCTTCTGTTTATGATGTCAACCTCGAGGGTGGCTGTGAGACTGAATGAAAAGGATGGGTGACTTGAGAGCTAAACATGCTATACAGATATTTTTCCCCTCTTCTATTTTCCTAGCAAAGTCAAGTAGGAAACTGACTTTCCTATACTTGGCCAATGACGTCATCCAGAACAGTAAAAGGAAGGGGCCTGAGTTTACAAGGGAATTTGAATCGGTTCTGGTGGATGCTTTTTCACACGTTGCCAGGTATGTATAGCAACCTCTTCTAATGCCCTCTGGCAACCTCTAGGCTGGATTACTTCAATGTGCTACATATGGGGCTATCTGTGAAGTTCGGAAACTTCGTTTAATGCAGAATGCAGCAGCCAGGCTGTTAACGAAAACAGATCTTCAAGGGAGGTCCTTTCTTTGGTCCCACCACCCTCATAGGCACACCCTGGGGGGGAAAGGGCCTTCTCGGTAGCTGCTTCTAGACTCTGGAACTCTCCCCACACTGGAGAAGGTAGACTGTCTCCCTCCATGTTGTCCTTCAGCAGGTGAAGACCTGCATTAGGACTGGGGGGAAGGGTTTGGTCTCTGCAGCTGAAACACGAGCAATAGGCCTACAAGCTCTACACCTACTGTACTACAAGGCGCTTCCTTAATGCACGCTCGCTTTGCTCCCTTTGGGATTGAGCTGGACACACTGTATTTGATCATTCTGCGCCGCATAAGTGTTCTTTTCAGATTTCAGCAAATCTAACTTTCCTTTGATCTGTTATTTGAAGAGTTATAACTGTGGCAAACACATTACCACTTGGAGTATTCCCTGCAGAAATTTCAGCTTGTTTCCTTCAGACCCCCAGTTGGCAGCCTTGTGCAATTGCTAGTTATTCCACGTGCCTTTGCTCTGTCTGAACACCATTTTAAGTGAGGTCAGCTTCTCAAATGCTATGGATTTATCAGATTTTTTCCACCAGATTGCCTTTCTGCTTGGCTCGCTCCATCTGTCATTGAGTGACTGTTCTCTCACTGTGGGGCAAGCTACAAATGAGCAGCTACGTGTCATTTCTTGGCACACAGTATGTTATCAGCTACTTAAAGGCTGTGGTGCTATTTAGAGAAGACCTTAGTCTGCAAACTGATTATATCTAGAACACACAGATGAATAAGTGAGCAAGTGTGTTCTGGATAACTCTATACTTAACTGGATGTGTTGCTGATGACTAAGTATTCCTTTTACTTTGAAATTGCATATTTCAAATTTGTGTGCCTATTGATATAAGTGGCTGGCATGCTGGTGAACACCTTACTTGGGAAGCCTGATGGGTTTAGCTCAGTTTCATCCCTGTTTTGTCTCTGATTGTGTCTCTCCTTAAACATTTTTCGTGGGAGGGAAGGAATGGAGTAGGCACCCTCTACCACTTTCCCCCCTCGTGTGTGTGTTCTCTCTCAACCCCTTTCTGACATTCTGAATTTCTGACCCTCCAGAGAGGCAGATGAGGGCTGCAAAAAGCCCTTGGAACGATTGCTGAACATCTGGCAAGAGAGGAGTGTGTATGGCAGTGAGTTCATACAGCAGTTGAAACTGTCTTTGGAAGACTCCAATAGCCCCCAACCCAAAGGTAAAAAAAAGTATTTGCTTTTTCGAAACAACCTTGACTCTGATCGAGCCACTATGAAAAGGTAGCTTGCTAAGGAGCAAAGAATGGTGTGTTTATGGCAGTGGTGGGGAACCTGGGGGCCTTTAGATGTTGTTGGATGAGAACCCTCATCATCCCAAGTCATTTGGCCATGCTGACTGGGGCAGATGGGAGTTGAAAAACATCTGGAGGGCCACAGGATCCCCAGCTGTGGTTCATGGCCATTTGAATTCAAGGGACTTGCGCTCAAGGGCTCCTGCTTGGTTGGAACTGAACTGGTGACAGTCTTCACATCTGCACTGTGTAGACACTTATTGTATCCTGTCCCTCCAGCTTCTCTGTAAGTTATGTTTGTGGAGCAGGGTCCATCATCCCAGGGATGTTTCTAGGCCCTGTCAGGCAACAGCCAGAGTGAGACATAGGAAGTTGCCCTTTACCAGATCATATTACAGTGGTACCTTGGTTCTCGAACTTAATCCGTTCCAGAAGTCTGTTCCAAAACCAAGCTGCACTTTCCCATAGAAAGTAATGCAAAACGGATTAATCCGTTCCAGGCTGTTGAAAAACTACCCCTAAAATGCTTCTCCCCACCTCCCCAATCAGTGCGATCTTTTGATCTCTTTCTTGATCTCTCTCTCGCCAAAGTGGCTGGGCTGCAGAGCGCTGCTGGGACGCTTCTCCTCACCGGCCCAATCAGCGCGATTTTTCGAGATCTCTCTCACACACACACGTCAAAGTAGCTGGGCTGCAGAGCGCTGCCGGGACGCTTCTCACTGGATCTCTCTAAAAACGGAAGTGCAACACTAAAAACAGAAGCTCACGACTCAACATGTTCGACTCCCCCCCCCCCCAAAAAAAAATGGAGAACCAGAACACTCACTTCCGGGTTTGCAATGCTCAGGTTCTAAGTTCATGAACTAGGCTGTTTGAGAACCAAGGTACCACTGTAGTTGTCTGTCTACCCCTGCATTTTCTCCTGACTATCGGCATCTCTTCAGGCCCTCAGACAGAGGTCTTTTCCATCAGCTGCCATCTGATCCTTTTAACCCGGGTAGGGAGGTTGCTGGACTGCAACTCCCATCAACACCCCATACCTGCTCTCTGAGGTGGAAGGGAGATGAACTCTAACAGTATCTGGAGGGCCAAAATTCTCCACTCCTTTTCTAACTGGAGGCACTGGGAACTGAACAGCCAACCTTCTACATGCAGAGCTTATGCTTTGCTGCTGAGTTCTGGCTGCTCCCCAAATCACAAGGTTCCTAAAGACCATTCTATGCTCTGAAGCTCATCTTGTTATGGGAATGAAGGCACTGTAGTTGTTCTTAATGTGTCTGCTATCGCAGTAGCCATAGTGGCAGTCACCACGTTCTAAATAAATCTGTCTGTTAATGATTATTTGGCAGTGCCGCAGGTCTCCATGATTCCTTGTAGTGACTTCCCCCAACTGGGTTACAGAGAAGGCTGGGTTAAGCCCAAAGTCTAGGCAGATGTCTATAAACTGAGAGTAGCTTTTGAGCCAATCGTGACTAGTTTGGACATTGGGCACTTTCCCCCATCGTTCATTCATCCTTCACTAAATTGGCACCATTCAACTGTCATCCTGGGACTGGAGCAGGAGGTTACGTTGTCGCATTTGATTTACAATCTGACATGTTTACTCCTGTGATAGGAACGAGAGTGTCAGCATGCAGTTGCCCAAAGCATTTCCCTCCCCTGCCTCATGAAGTCGTATATGAGGCAGCTTCATCTGCTCTCAGATGGTTTACCCTTTCCTTATGAGCTTTACTGCTCTGTTTTTCAACGTAATGGCACTTGAAAGGGGTGCTGGGGACAGAGTGCTCTCAGCACAGCTGGCTTTCCTCGAGTTCTTGGTCGGAAGATCTGGCTTGGCAAAGAAGAGGAGCCCGCCAGCTTCAGGAGGGTTTAATTTGCACCCTGGAAGCCAGCCAGAAACACCTGACCCCTTTGTCGATGGCGGCAGCAAATGCTTTCTGACCAGCTTGTGCTTCGTCTTTCTCCTGGTGCTGCCAGATGCTGCTCCCCTTCCAGGCATGATTCCTGAGGAAATGCCAAACATCCCTTGCCCTCCAGCTCTTCACCATCTGTGCCCAGGTTCCCACCTGCAAAAGCATGCCGATAGTTCTGTATGAAAGGAGGAGGAGGACTGGTGTTGGGCAAACCTGGGGTTCTGTCCAAAAAAAAGGAAAGGGAAAAAGAACCAGGGGACACCCAGCCTCCCAAAATGTTTTCTGAAAAGCCTCTGCATGCTGTCCTCCTCTACAATACAATATGATACAATACAATACAATAATCTTTATTCTCAGGCGGCTAATCCTAGTCTTTATAACCCTGTACCTTCTTCCAGAAGGCAGAAGCTGAAAGAGATCATTTCCAGGGTGCGCACTATCCTGTGCGATCTCTGCAGCTTTCTTATAGCACCTGGAAGCATAGATTTGATCCAAGGTGGGAAGAGTGCACCCCATTATTCTCTCCGCAGTCTTTACAACCCTGGACAGCATTGTTTTTCCCCTGACCATGCAGCTCCCAAACCACACACACAGACCATAAGTTAATACACTCTCAACAGTACAACTGTAAAATGCCATCAACAGGTCCTTTGAGAGATTGTTTTTCCGGAGGATTCTCACATTCTCTACCTTAGATGGGAGGGGTTTCTGGCATCCCAGAGCGCTTTACTTGTCTGGTCTGCAGAGGAAGAAGACACAGGAATCCAACAGCGCCACCTTGAGATCACCCAGCAATTCAGCCTGAGAAGGATCTGCTATGGGGAATGGGAAAGCCTTTTGTCTTTCCACCTTGGTGCCTGCCTCCCCAGGTTACTGCAGGTTCTTTCTATATCTGCAGTGTTCTATTTATCTTCGGCAGTTTATGGGGTGGGTTTTCCTTTTTTTAAAAAAGGGAAGTAAAATTCATGGTAAGATGGTGCATACAAAATATGGAAAATTCTGGAGTGTGGCCTAATGATATGTCAGTCTTCAGTTGTTCACACCTTCCTGATTCTTCCAGAACCTTTAAACCAGTGGCAAAGAATGCCACCCATCACCAATTGTGCAAGCTCCCAAATGCCGCCCCAAGCAGTGCAGAATTGAAATGAGGGGAAATGGAGGCCTCTGTGGTTTCCCTTTTATCTTTCTCACAACCCTGAAGGCAGGAGGCTTGTTCCTCAACCTGATCTATGGGACACTGTGGCAGGTGAGGTTGGCTTCTGTTTTAAGATTTTAGAGCTAACTTTTGCTTTTCTTTTTAAAAGATGAACCTGATCAGACTTTGACCTTTAGGTTTTATCACACATATGCACACGCTTTTCAAAAGGTACCACTGGAACAATGTCTCCTTACAGGATGTGACTGTCTCTCTGTGTCTTTTCTCAGTTACAGAGGAGAAAAAGTCATTGAAGCGAACATTTCAGCAGATACAAGAAGAAGAAGATGACGATTATCCTGGGAGCTACTCCCCGCAGGACCCCAACGCTGGGCCTCTTCTGGTATGTCTGGAAGGCTGAGGATTGAGAGAGAAAAAGGCCCTGGATTCTAAAGAGAGAGCCACATGGTGGCGCCATTAGCAAATGCAATAGGAGGACCAGTGTTGTTCTGTTTATTTGCTCAGAAACACACCCTCACGACTCAAGGAAGAACATGGAACATAGTAAAACGGAACATAAAACAAATATTATTCCATAAAATTGCTGCAGTCAAAGCAAAATAAAACAAATTGCCCAAAGCGCGACAGTATATTATACCCAGCATGGTGTGATCTAATTTATATATCGTGGTAGATGATTCCAGGAAGTCCATTAAACTCAGATTTCCTGCTCTGCTGTCTGTTCTGTGGACCAGAAATGGGGGTTCAAATATTCTGTGATTGTAGTTTGGTTTTGAGGGTGGCTTGTTGACCAAGGGGCAGGGAGTGAGAGCTTTTGAAAAGCAAGACTTGTGTTGGAATAAGAAGTTAGAAGCAGGGTGGTGGTGGCTACATGCGCTGGGAAAGCAATCATGGCAGTCTCTTTATGTCTCAATTGCGCAGACTGAGGACTTGATCAAAGCCCTGCAAGATCTGGAAAACGCAGCATCGGGAGATGCCACAGTGCGGCAGAAAATTGCTTCTCTTCCCCAGGAGGTTCAGGACGTGTCACTCTTGGAGAAGATTACAGGTGAGGCTCTCAAGTGCCAACACTTGGATGCAAAAGGCAGGACACGACTCTGTTCCTGCACCTGGAAACTGCCCAATGAGACTAGCTTGTTTTTAAGGGTTTCCTTCACCCTCAGATGCCAAAAGACGAATATGAACCTGCCTTTCCCCTTTTTGTTCTGTTCCAATGTGGCTTGGACTCTGTTGGGCCACATGCCAAGCCCTGCCTGCTGCTGTTTGTGTGGCATGAGCATTTGACACGTTCCTCACTGAAGGGGATCATTGCCTTGTAAAGGGAGCCCTGCAGACTGTGCGCAGAGGCTGCTGCTTTAACTGAATATGTGAGAGGCCCAGGACACATTTGTTCATTTCTGTTCCTCTCTGGCCCTTGATGGCCTCCTCTATCACTGCTTACAGTGTCTCACAGTGGAGGAAAGAATGCCACTATTGCAGGGTGTGCTGCTGGGTGGAGATCTAGGCAGAGCACCTGATGCATAGGAGTCGCACTCCTAAGGCAACTGTGGTAGCACAGCTCTCTTCACAGTAGGGCCCAGGGAGAGCTGAATCAGGCATTTAGCAGTAGAGTTCACTGTCTGTGCTCATCAGAAGAGAGCCAACACAGTTTCAGTTCAGCACTGCTTTTGCAGAGGGTGGCACTGCAGCTGTCAGTTCAACAGATGTTCTTCCCCAAGTCCTCTAAAGCGGCCTGCTCAGGCCTTAGCAGCTTGCTAACCTTGGGCGCAGACGGAGTGGCTGTGAGACCACCCCTCCCTGCAGATGTGCCGGTCTGCTTCCTGGATCACCTGCAGCCAGCCAGCCCTAACCCTGACCTCTTGGCCTTCCAGGAAAAAAAGGACACTTTGGGCTAGCTGCACTTGTCTTCCTCTGCCAGTGCTTAAAGAAGTGTGTTGCTTGCTGGTCCTTGTGAAATCCACGCTTGATTGGAATTCACCCCAGATGAGCTGCTTTCTGTCACCCACACAAAGGCTTTTGCACACAGTCACTGTCGATTATTTGCCACCTTTGTGCCTAGACAAAGAGGCTGCCGAGCGTCTTTCGAAGACTGTGGACGAGGCATGTTTGCTACTAGCGGAGTACAATGGGCGACTGGCAGCAGAGCTGGAAGACCGGCGCCAGCTGGCACGCATGTTGATTGAGTACACCCAGAACCAGAAGGACGTGCTGACGGAGAAGGAGAAAAAGCTAGAAGTGAGTAGCGTTCCTCCGATAGATGCCGAGCAGCGTCCTTTCTTAGACGTGTCAGTTCCTCAAGTCAGCCCTGGCTTCTGGGGTTGCTTTAATCCACAGGCCCAATAACGGCCATGTGGTTTGCACAGTCACAGCTGAAGCAGTCACAGCTGTGTCTCCACCACCACCCCATGGGCATGAAGCTGGGGATTGTGGCCTCTCCAGGTGTGTGCCCTCCCTGTTAATACCCAAAGGCCTGCTGGGTAAATGAAAATGGTTTTTGCCTTGAAATAGACAATGATGGCACCAGGTGAGACTCCCTGGAGAAGGGCATTCCACAGACGGGGCCACCACCGAAAAGGTCTATCTGTGTGGCCACCCTCTGTCACCTCCCCCCTTGGGTGAGGCGCATGGAGAAGGAGGGCCTCAGATGACGAATGCAGTGCCTTGGTTCATGTGGGCAGAGGCAGTCCTTGAGATACCGGCCTCCTGAGCCATATATGGCTTATCAGCCCTTTGAATTGACCCCAGAAACGAAATCGTAGCTGATAAATACAGATGTGTGGAACTATATGCTCAGACCATCGTGCCCTAGTAAGCAACCTGCTCCAGCTGCAAATTTGAAACAGTCTTGAACTACATGACTCTTGGGGTTCCTTCCAACTCTATGATTTTATGATTCAAAGGCAGTCCCATATATAGTTTATTGCAGCAATGTAGCTTTTGAGGTCACATGAGCGTGTTGGGCTTTCCCTGTACAGATAGGGCTGTTGATGGAAGGCATTCTGTGCTCCTCTGGGGGAGAGAAAGATAGCACACTTGTGTGTAAAGCTTGAGCATAGGAAGCGTGTGTGCTTGGATTGATGTTTGTATACAGTAGAAGGCATCATGTTTTAATAGTTAATGTTAAAAACGTGATACAGTGGTATCTTGAGTTACAGACGCTTCAGCTTACAGATTCTGCTAACCCAGAAATAGTACCTCGGGTTAAGAACTGCTCAGGATGAGAATAGAAATCGCGCAGCAGCAGCACCGGGAGGCCCCATTAGCTAAAGTGGTACCTCAGGTTAAGGACAGTTTCAAGTTAAGAACAGACCTCCAGAATGAATTACCGGTAAGTTCTTAACCCGAGGTACCACTGTACTTCACTTGGAAGAAGGAACTCCTGAAACATGATCTTCCTCGAAGGAAATTCGGGTTCTGGGTTGCTCTGGCATTAAGTTCAGGCCAGCTCCCCAGTATTATCAGAGTCCCTCCCACTTGCACTTTGCCGGTAACTTTCCTCTTCTTGGTTCACTTGATCTGCTGCGCTCAGCTTTTCCAACCTCACCGCCTGCTGCCATCTTGCAAGTTCAGCTGAAGCCCTTTTGAATTGCTATTGACCTGACATGCAACCACGCATGTGGGCAGATGATAAAAGCGGTTTCGTAAAAAGCCGCTTGACTTGGGAGCACAGGAAGCAGCTGACAAATACGGCTTTGGCAGCAGGCTGGAGCTCGGCAGCGTCCAAAAGCCACTGGAAGAGAGCTCATGAGCCGGGTGGAGAGCCATTTATCTGAAATGTACCATTTTCAGCAGGGCGGCATGTTCTGCTCTGCACCCCGGGATTATGACGGGAACATAATTAATGATTCTGCTTGTATGTCACTCTGCCATCTGTTGCGTTGCCCCTGGCTAGCACATTAAGGGCTTCCTCTGGCTGTCAGGGCTGACTGTTAGGAGCAGCTGTTCTTGGGCGGAACGTGAGTTGCTGCAGAGTGCAGAGCTGTCCAGAAGGAGACAGCGAGTGCTAAGCAGGTTGTCCCAATGTCAGCCTCTTGTCCTGCCACGGGGCTGGTGTTGTCGCCTCGAAAGCCGCATGTCGCCCTTGCTTTTCAGAGTGCCACTTTCTCTTGGCTCTTGTCTTGAACTTGTACATGTTGTTGCAGATGTCACAGGCTGCACTGCAGCTCTTCTTGAGGCTGTTGGCTGATGAAATCTACTATAAGAGGGGGAGCAGCGCGTGGTTTGAAAATGTGCTGCTTTGTCCCTGACATGAGCAAAACGCCCCTGCGGTTCAAGGAGTTGCACAGCAGCGCAACTGATGCACTTGTGCTAGAGTCATAAGCTCTCCTCTTTGCCAGTGAATTGGGCAAGGCTGCCATTCACGTTTGCACCCCCTGAGACACTTCGTAAGGGGAAGCAGTTCTCCTTGAAGTCCTAAGCCTTCTGGGTCCTTGGGAGCCTCCCAAGTCTGGTATACCCTATTCTGCATGTGTTAAGGAGCAGGATTGTTCCTTAAAAATGGGTTTGTGGTGGCTCAGGGCACTGGTAATGCCACTGCTGCCAAAATACAACGTTGTTTGATGCATGTAAGGTTATTAGCATACTGACTTCAGTATAAAGGAATCCTCCAGCTACATCTCTTGCTGCTTTTCTGGGACCTGACTGAGGAGGATTGCAAAGGGTGGCGTAAATGTACAACTTGGTGTGTTTCAAGCCCTCTGGCAAAACGTCCTCGGTATAGGTTTCTCCTGGGTAATGCCCTGTTTTCTTTGTTTTGCCCTCTTATGGCACAAGGTCTCTACTGTAGGAAAGCCAACCCCTCCTTCTCAGAAAAAGTGCGTTGAAAGGCCAAAAACTTTCTGGAATGAGCTGGGAGGAGAAATTTGGCTCCCCTCTGGCAAATCTAAATTGGGATTTATTTTGCTAAGTCAGGAAAAGTCTGCCGTGCTCTGGTCAAATAAGGCATCTTCAGGGGTGCTCCATGTTCTCAAAGTGATTTTTCACCCAAGTACTTAAACAGTTAATCCCTTTCTCTGGCACCACAGCTATCTATCTAAACATTGGGGTTCAAATTTAGAAGCTGCTAACATAATCACTCATCGGTCAAGGCAGATCCTGCAACTAAATATTATTTACATGGAATGTCAGTGATTTCTCATTGCAGGCTGTTGGCCAAGGACTGGAAATAGCAGGGCCTGGGGGCTCTGGGCACCCTTTCTGGGCCCTCTCATACCAAAGCATTAATCAAACCAGGACGTATTGCCAACGGAGACTAGCTGGAAGCTAACTCTGGAGCAGAGGAAAAAGTATTGGGTTTTAATCTTCATTAGGGGATAAAGAGACAAGTTTCACCTTCAGAAGCAGTGGGTTTGGGTTGAAAAGATGCAAAAAAAAGGGCATGATGTCTGTCCTTGACACGGTGTGCATATGTAGGATGCAATTCACAGTTGATATGTAGAACACAATCTCAGACCCTATTGACAACAGTGAAACTCTGCATTGCTCAGTTTCAGAAAAAGTGAACTCCCAACGGGCAGAGTGGTTGAATAAACCTTGGAAGACTGTTTTCGCGGATAAAGCCAGTGTGCAGCAGGAAGGCAACATACCAGCAATTATCATGACAAAGATATTGAAAGATGAGACCTGCTCATTCAGTTTTGGAATGGCAAAGTAGCAGGCAGTTTGCGTCCTTATAATTGATTTACACTAACTTAACTCTCTGTGGTGTCCCCTCTTTTATTACTTACCACTCTTCATTCCCTATTACAGTATTCCATTTTGTTCCTTCCTTCTTTTTCAAAATTAAAAATGTAATAACGCACAGACACGGCATTTCAGCCCTCGTAAACAGTTTTCAAGGAGGCCAGGAAAGGTTTGTTTATTCATTTATTTTAAAAAATTGTCTACTGCTGTGTGGTATATCAAAGGGGTTTACAGCAATAAAAGCACAAAAAGGTAAAAGCAGACATCAGTTAACCATTGTAGAAGGGGTGTCGTATTAATTGCCTGCATAGTTTACAGCAGGCGTTCAAAAGTTGGCACAGAAGGTGCCTGCTGAATTTCTGGTACACACTAAATTTATTATTATTATTATTATTATTATTATTATTATTATTATTACAGTGGTACCTCGGGTTAAGTACTTAATTCGTTCCGGAGGTCCGTTCTTAACCTGAAACTGTTCTTAACCTGAAGCACCACTTTAGCTAATGGGGCCTCCTGCTGCTGTCGCGCCGCTGGAGCACGATTTCTGTTCTCATCCTGAAGCAAAGTTCTTAACCCGAGGTACTATTTCTGGGTTAGCGGAGTCTGTAACCTGAAGCATATGTAACCCGAGGTACCACTGTATTTATTAAACTTGTATACCACCATTTAGCCATAGATTTCTGGGCAGTTCACAATACCTTGGATCCCGAACGCCTTGTTAGTCGGAACGTTTTGGCTCCTGAACGCTGCAAACCCAGAAGTGAGTGTTCCGGTTTGTGAACATTCTTTGGAAGCGAATGTCCAAAACGGCTTCCATGGCTTCTGATTTGAGTGCAAGAAGCTCCTGCAGCAAATCGGAAGCCACGCCTTGGTTGTCGAATGTTTTCGGAAGTCGAAAGGACTTCCTGAACAGATTCCATTCAACAACCAACGTTTGACTATAAAAATACAGGCTCTATACCTTGTTATCAAGTGCAGTGTTTCCCAACCGGTGTTCCGCGGCACACGAGTGTGCCGTGAGACATCGGCTGGTGTGCCGCGAGATGCCTGGAGGGAGGCGGGCGAGTCGGGCGGCGAGAGGCGGGGCGGCGGCGGCGAGGAGCCGCTCGGCGCGCAAAGCGAGGGAGGCTGGAGCCAAGAGCAGCGGCGAGCAGGAGGCGCTTGGTGGGAGATTCAGCCGAGCCCGAGCTGCGTGCGCTCCCGAACCTCTGGGCGGAGAAGAGCGTGCGTGTGTCCGGCTTAGCGACGGATCCTCTCACCCGGCGCAGCAGAAGACAACCCTCGGGGCGGAGCTCCTGCCACAGGCCTCCCGCCTTCTTCCCCACGCGGGGCAGAATAAGTGGAAACCGGCGGACGCAGCGGGTTTCTCAGCCGCTGCCCGGGTTGCCCCTCTCTCCTACAGAGCCGCATCCATCCCAGCCCCTCCTGTCATCTCAACCTGCCCGTCTAATTTACATACCATCATATCCTCCTTTCTTATTGATTCACTTAGATTTAGTCTTACATTTCTCGCTTTGTCTCCGTAGACTGCGCGGAGGGAGAGCCAGAGA